CGATTTAATTAGGCTGATCCCACTGCTAAAATATGGTACCATATGTCGCTTCCGGTTTATGACTCGTAACAGGAGTCAAACATAGACTTTTAGATGTGTTCAAATAATATTGTTAAATGAGTCGCGAGATTGAAAAAAATTCATTAGAGTATTTCAAACATCATTTATACTCATGCTAACATATGAAATAAAAGTGGTCAATGTAAATATGCATTATTCAAACTCGATATAATGGAGGTTTGTATAGTTTTCAAAAATAAAGCGTATTTGAAATTAACATAAATTTTATGGGTGGTATATGTCATTCAAAACTTGAAATAAGGAAGATTTTTATAATTTTTGGAAAATGATTAGATGTCTCTGAAGTTGTCATAAACCTCAATAGAGGTATGCATTATTCAAAATTTGAAATAAGAAATGTTTGTGTAATTTTTGAAAGGTGAATAAGAATCTCTAAAGTTGTGACAATCTCGAACGTATGTATAATTTGCCTTATACAATATTCATTGCCTATATATTTCTCATTTATGTAGCAATATGAAATTTTATCGGACTTGTGACTTAATTTCAAGCGAACGATCTGTTGGACTATTTTATCACAACTAGAATGTCTAAATTATAATTTTGTTTCAATCTAATAATTATGTTGAAGTTTGTTAGCTCAACACTTAGAAAATATTGATGCGAGAGTAGATTGTTTTCAACATCTCGTCGATGTCATGATATTATTTAATAAAAATTTGAAGAGTGGTATAACTGAAATAATAACATTTTATAAATCGAATTACTGAAACACATGCACCGGCTAAGACTCGTCACTTGCAGTTGTGGTATATTGTGCATATGAAGGTGTTTGACACCCATTTTTTTGAGAATATAATTTTTGAAATAGCGATTGATGGGAGAATGTGCGGTGAAAAAATTATGAAAAGTTTTAGATTTTTGTGTAAAATTATTTTATTGAGAGAATGTGTAGTTGAAATAAAAAAAGAAAAAAAAGAGAATAAGAATGGGTGTCAAACAGGGACATAATTTACTATTGAAACACATGCACCAAGATTTCGTACACGTGACAAATTTTGTATCGTGGCTTTTGTTGTATAATTGCCAATTAGCAATGAATGTGTCGGCAGTTAATTTATATCGTATAACCGAGGGGCGTGAGAGTGCGGTCCCCTTCCTTTTCAAAAGAAAACAAAAAAGGCCGCATTAAAATTTAATTTATATCATATAACCGAGGGGCGTGAGAGTGCGGCCCCCTTCCTTTTCAAAAGAAAACAAAAAAGGCCGCATTAAAATTTAATTTATAATTTAAACGAAAACTAATAATTAATTTTAATCATATATTTTGTGAAATTTAAAAAATGTATGAATAAAATTAATTATTAATTTTTACTTAATTTTAATTTTTTTAACTAAATTAAATAGGGGCTTAATTTTTGGTCAACTAATTGTACAAAGAACCTCTCATTGCCTATTAAGAGTATGTTTGAGCCACATTATTTTGAAAGAATGTATTTTAGAATAGTATATTGATGGAGAATGTGTGATTAAAGAAAAGTTATTGATGTGAAGAAAAATTTTATTTTATTAAAAAATGTATGGTTGAAAATGAATAGAAGAATGAGAATAAAAATTTTAATATGTACCAAATAGGGGCTAAATTTAAGGTCTGGAACTTTGTCTGGCAAAAATAAAAGGTTTTGGGATTTTAGGACACATTTTTGAAAGATTTAAGATGTCAAGTGCAATTTACCCTATTTTAAAACACTATCTATTATACCCGTTGAATTGTCCAAACTCCAAAGGCTCCAACCACAATTTATTCCATCAAGTCCATGTACGACTTACTTTACTTTAAAAGTTCAGTTTCTCTATCATTATTCTAAAAAATTATTTACTATAGTAAGATTCTCCACAACACATTTATCAAATAAAATATTTTACACATAAATCAATAGAATAACTTTACTTTTCAACCACACATTTTTCAAAAAATACTATTCATTACTTCATTTTTCACCCAATAATGAGAGACAAACACACCCTAATTTATCTTTAGTTACATATTCACGTGACCAACCAAAATGGGGCTAAATTTGAGGAGAGAAGTGCTGCAGTGCAACCCTCCCTGACAGGACAGACACATTGGGAGGGGGTGGGGCCTTTTTTTCATTTTTTATTACACGTGGGTCCCACGTGGGTCCCACCCTCCTGTGAGGGTCGGTCACCCAAATTGGTGCACCTCTTTTGGCACACCCAAAATTCATTTGAGGAAACCCTAAAGTAATCCTTGTGTGGCGCAAAGGACAAAACTGTACATTGCATTTTTCAGCTAACTCATTTTAAAAGCTCTCTCCAAATTCTTTGAACCTGGAGGAAAGCACAAAAATTGGAAGATTAACTGAAAGAAGGTAGGTCTACTTGTTTTTACTCTGTGTTTTCAAGACTTGTTTTACATTTCTTTCCCTTCAATTTGTGCCCTTTTTTAATTCCTCACGTGTGCTCTTCAACATTTTTGAACACTCACCCCATATGTATGTATGTACGGTGCGGTGGGGGAGGGGTGGAGTGGGGTGGGGTGGTTGAGCGATCAAGTTGAGTCTTGTGTATATTTATGGGTATGTTTGACGAATATTATCGACGAAAGAATGTATTTTAAATAATTATACGATGAGAAATATGTGGTTGAAAAGTAAGGAAAAGTGATCGATGTGATGAAAAATATTATTTTATTAAAAAATGTGTGGTTGAAAAATGAGTTATAAAATAATGTATTTTGAAAGAATATGTGTCAAACGTGGGCTATATTTATCAAATTGGTGATCCTCTAAGGAGGTTCAATAATGCATTTAGAGCCTGTTTGGTGTACATTAAAATGGGAGAATGTATTTTTTTGAAGTGACGTGATGGGGAATATGTGATTGAAAATGAAGAAAAAGTTATTGATATGATGAAAAATATTATTTTATTGAGGAATGTGTCGTTGAAAATGAGTAAAAAAATGAGAATGAAAAAAATAATGTTCACACGACCGGGGGCTTAATTGTATATAGTTGTATACAAGTCCAATATTCCGTACTATGCCTAAGAATTAATCACCCCACATAGGTGTAACATTTAGAGTCTATTTGACAATCAGTACTAGAATGTACGATTAAAAAGTAAGAAATTTTTTTCATATATGTATAAAATATTTTATATTTTATTATGTAAAGGTGTGTAAAAAATTATCCTATAATAAATCAGGAAATAAATTAATGGGCGGCTGGCGCTTAGTAACAAGTTTGACTTGGGTAAACTCCTCTCACATGTGTATGCATCAGACTGAAACACTCGAGGAAACCGACAGGCTAAAATTAATGATTGACTGTCAACAGCCGTTTATGTAATGTGCAAATTCAAAACCTGAAACCGGGTTCCCACTTCCCAAGATTTCCCGTTCATCTTACCTGGTACAATGAACCGGGCTCTAGAAACTGGACAATTCATTCACATCATACCACCTAGAACTTAATTCCCATCCTATATATATATATATATGTAGATGAGATGAGTGTAGTATAGTTGAGTATACCATCCAACAAAAGCTGGTTTTTTGCTGTGGTTTTGCAGGGGATCTGTATCTGCCAAAGAATTGATCGTTTGGTATATAATAGTGAATTCCCCCAAGTCTGTCTTACCTAACAGTGTTACATATATGGCAAAAGTCCTCAGGAATGGGGCGGAAGAGCGCGAGAATTTCCACAAATTCTTCGAGTGCTGGCTTGTTGAGCAAAGCCAGTATCTTGAAGAACTTGTCTCCGCCTCTAAAGAACGCGACCAGCTTGAGAATAATGGTCGAACCATTACTAAGGAAGAATTTGATGAGAGCGTTTTGCGTCCTCTAATCCACCGTGTTGTGCAGCATTACGAGCATTACTACAAGGCGAAAGCAAGGTGGGCGAAACACAATGTGTTAACCATGTTCAATCCATCCTGGACCACCTCTCTTGAGGATGCTTTCCTATGGATTGGTGGTTGGAGGCCAAGTATGGCGTTTCATTTGTTGTACTCAAAGTCGGGCCAACAATTCGAGGCTCAAATTTCTGAGTTGATACGAGGTGTCAGTACAGGTGACTTGGAAGATATTTCACCAAGTCAACTCAGTAGGGTGGATGAATTGCAGAGGAAAACCATAAGGGAAGAGAAGGAGAATAGTGAGAAGCAGGCAAAGCATCAAGAGACGATTGCAGACTCGTCCATGGTCGAGATGTCCCATGCTGTGTCCGAGTTAAAGAGAGGAGGAGAAGTCGGTAAGGAAGGGGGTGAGATAGACAAGGGACAAGTCGAGGCAACCCTGGCACACAAGGAGGAAGGTTTGGTGGAAGTCTTGCGAAGGGCAGATGAACTAAGGATGAAAACCCTCCAAGAAATTCTCAACATTTTGACTCCACTACAGTGTGTCCATTTCTTGATTGCTGCTGCTGAATTACACTTGAGGGTTCACGAATGGGGTAAGAAAAGGGACGCCATTCACCACCAAGCTGGTCGAGATGGGCACGAGCAATAAAGTCCTGGCATGTTCGTTAAGAAAATCTAGATAGTACTGGAGTTTATTAAGAAAAATAAATTTTCTTCTATATCTCTGTTTAATCCCCTCTAGACTTTGTTTTTATTTAAAATCGTGAGGAATGTGTGGCAAATGGGACATGTTGGCACTCTCTCAATCCGACGAACTATTTTAATTTAAAATTTCCTTGCGGAATCCACTTGATACCATTTGTACTACACGCTCAGTAAGCCAGAAATAAAAACATTTATTGATCATTGGTTGCGATACCACGAAGAGAGACTGAAATTTGATTGTAACTTGTGCCGTTCTATTGAGTTAACTAGACAAAACCCAAAGCCTAATGCTACAACAAGCACTCGGAAAACGGCCCCTTTATTTAAAAAAAGAGAAGGACTGAGTTCCCATGGGGAGCATTCAAGCTCGTCGGAGTTCCCATGGGGAGCATTCAAGTAAACCCTGCACGCAAAGAGAGAGACGGAAAAAGAATGATGTGAAAAATAAGGAACCATAAGAATGTAAAAGAGTATTGGCAAAAATAAAAAGCAAGTTGACCTCATCATAGTTCATCCTTAGCAGGATCTTCTTTTACTCCAGGCTTTTCAGATTCTGGTTTGGCCGAGTCAGCTTGGGCAGGCTTATCCCGATTCTTTTGAATAAAGTCGATGATGTCCTCCTTTGTTCTATCCCCTTTATAAGACAACAAGTTACCACTAACAGATCTGAAGTACAAAGTAGGGTATCCTTGAACATCGAAGGTGTCAACTGGTACATCATTTGTCGTTGCATCCTGCAACGTTGTACCAGAGAATTAGTTAAATATGGTGATATATTTTCCTAAAAAGACACTGATTAGAAATGAACACAGCAACATTACAAAAAACATGAAAAAAGTGTCTCCAAATGTAGTTTAGGACGAGATCAGAAAGATGACAACACAATATCAATTGATCCGTAGGATCTCAGTCGAACAGCAAATGCTATGCACCACCAGTTCTCTCAAGATATCGTTGAACAGTTGTAGTATCATCCATGAATCCGAGATCTTGCATTGAACTAGTGTAAAATCAAAAGGCATTCCTATAGAGTCCTAGATTAAGAAACAAGCTAGAATTTTACCAGTTTCGCAATCATAACATCAGTATCATTTTCAAATGAGATGGCAACTTCTTCCAAGATTGGAGCCAACTGCTTGCAATGTCCACACCAAGGTGCATAGAATTCTAGCATAACTGCAACAAGATAATGATGGAATTAACCTAAATTCAGACCTAGTCTACGGATATACCAGTAAGAAAGCCTTCCAGACTTGTAGACATGGGCATTAGCAGAGAAGTGTGCCTAACTCCACCTAATAAAACCGGTTTATTAGGGGAGGATTTCTCTCACCTTATTAAGTGGATCATTAATATTTTCCCAAACAATGTGAGATTCTAATACGCCCCCTCATGCACAGCATGGACCATGCCAAACAACTGTGAACAAATCGATATTGGGTGGCACCCAACATTGCATAATTGGGCCTCGCTCTGATACCATGTTAGGAATTGGGGTTCCATCTTAAAAGGTTAACCTTGTTAAGAGGAGTAGCCCAAAATCTTTATTAATTGATATGTGTCAACATCATTTATCGATGTGGGATATATATCCCTTAACACGCCCTCGCAAAATGGTGGCTCATTTGAGCAGACCAATCTTGAAATCCACGTGCTCATTTTAGAGTCTTAACTGGATCGAATCGCTCGTTAGAGTATAATGGGCTCTGATACCATGTTAGGAATATTGGGCCTAAACTCCACCTAATAAAACCGGTTTATTAGGGGAGGATTGTCCTCACCTTATTAAGTGGATCATTAATATTTTCCCAAACAATGTGAGATTCTAATAGGGGGATTCAATTCTTAGAACCGATATTACCCATACTGGCAAGACAAATTTGGTCCATAAGGTAAAGATAATTTGTACATACACCGAAAAGATGGTGAGAAAAGAAAAAGATGAAAACCATATCTAGTCTTCGGCAAACATTAAGCTTTGGGTTGCATCATAAATAAGAATATAAGAATAGGAAAATATTAATAGTTGGATTAGTATAGATCGAATCTGGAGTTCAGTGAACATATAAACTAAAGAAAACATAGACTAAATCTGTGTGCTAAGAAATATTTAAAATTTCTAGTACAAACCGTTCTTTCCGGAGTTAAAAACCATGTCCTGAAGGCTGTCAGTAACTACCACCTTGACAGGTTCGTTGTTAACTTCAGGAATAGGCTCTGATCTTATGAATGGCTTCACTTGACCATCCTGTAATCATTCGAAGAAAACCAAAAATTCAAATTATGCTAACTTTAAGACAGGCACACAATTACATATACAAAAGTCAATAAGATGACAGTTGAAGTTCCAAAAAGGTTTTGAATTGGTGTTTATAACTAGAACTAGAAGTATTACCGTGTAATCTTTTAGCCACGGTACAATCTGATCAGGTTCTATGTTTGCCTTGAGATACTTCTGACCATCAGTTGTCTGTATAATAAGAAGAGGTGCCTGATCCACTGTAAGCCCAAAGTACTGCCACCGATATTCATGAACATTTATGTGTCAAATATTATCGTTCTGTCCAAAAATAGAAATCAAATGAATAAAGATCTATGGAGAAAGTGACAACCTGGAAGGCACCTTCACTGGCTTCAAGATCCCCCAACAGAAAACTTATACTCTTCTTTTTGTAGAGCACAGCAACATCCTTATAAATTGGCTGGAAAGAATCAAGCTCCTTGCTGAACAAGTGTTTTTCGTACCGGACATGTCATTGAATCACTTGTTAAAACAACACTCTGAAGTAATGAAAAAAGAACTTATGTTGAAAATTTTGCATTGCTATTAAAATCACAAAATTGCATAAATTTTGTTCCCTGATGATATATCATATGAGGTTACAGAAGTGAATGAAAGCAGCAGCAATAACAACTAAATGTATAACAATAAATGTTATTATTTTTCTGAACTCTGCCGAGAACAAGATTAGGTGACGAGCTGGAACATAATCAAAGCAGAAGTGGAAGAATCTTGACCAAAAAAAAAAAAANAAAAAAAAAATGAACTCTAGCAGCAGCCTTATTAAATAGAGGTAATCTGTACAAAATTTTGTTCAAATAAATGGTTCTTATTCAATTAGCACACGAAATGCCCCATTTCGGCAGCAATTGCAGAAAGCCTGTTTGGAACATCCATAGCTTTTAAGAGAAAACTATTAATTCAAAATTATATCATCACGTCAAAATATTCACAGAACTAATGCCGCTGCACATTCTCCATGAGCACAATATATCTTGAGAATCCAGTCTGCTTGTCTTTAACTAAATCATATCTAGACTAGAATTATTTTTACCGCTAAAAGAGTTCAAAACTTGATGCCCAGTATTTGATCTAAAAGTGACTCCAGAAGCTTGAAGTGAATAGGACTTTGTAATAAGACAAATTTCTAAAATTACTCCCCCAATGCAGATCATACAGAGGTTAGCCTCAGATAAATAGAATGGTTTGTTTTAAGTAGTCCTGCTCTAGCAAGCAAATGGGAAAAGACTTTGTAACTGTAAACCATAGTCATAATCATGCATGGTGTCGAGCCTGGGAGAAAAAGAATGAAAGTACCTTAGTGTTGGCACTCCCAAAAAATTTGTTTACATACGGATGATTGCTTGGATCACTGTTAAAAATAGTGACAAAAGGAATGGTAGCTTCTTCAATGAATTTCTCCATTGCATCAACTTGAAAGTCCTGAAATAATATTCACAGTGACAATGTTACTGACAATTTAAACCACAAAGTAGAATAAGTTTCCGAAATAAAAAATTGTCTGGAACAGAAAGGGAACAAAAAGTTTAAGCAGTACATGGAAATCAACAAACAGTTCATCGAACGGCTTAAGCAGGCGAAGAGTTGGCTTGTTGACCGATTCACCCCGAGGGAGGAGGTTGGTATCAAGAGTGTGACTAAAATCATAGTCAGAGCGCAACTTTTCTGCTAAAGTCATAAAATTCTCATATTCGTTCCCAGAGAATTTTTGAAACACCCCGACCTAAAAGAATATATCCATGTTTTTAGTTCTACATATAATTAACAGAGAAACAGAGATAGATTAGGGGAAAAGAAAGGTAACTACTTACAACATAGATCTTTTTCTCATCCCCAAGTTTGCCAGCATCTTCCACTGATTTGATTTCAGCCGATGGAGGACCAACTTGTTTCTTCAAGTAATCAACGATACCATCAGCCTCACGAGGACCTTTGTACTCCTGAATGTTCTTTCCTCCATTCTTTAAGATCTTCATAGTGGGGAAACCCTGAATCTCAAATTCAGATGCTAGTTCTCTGTTTGCTTCATCATTTGCATCAAACTTTGCCAGAACTATAGGAGGGTCATGGCTGCCCAGTATTGATGCAGCTTTTTCGTACTAATAAGATGTCACAGAAAGGACAAAAAGTCATTTGAGAGAGAACACAGAAACGGGAATGTACTCAATAAGACGTGTTAAAAAAGAAACAGAAGAAAAATGGAGAAAACTCCCTTTCACAGGGTATAGTCGTATAGAGATTAGACTGTACCTCTGGGGCAAGTGCCTGACAGTGCCCACACCTGGGAAGGAATGGAAAGATGATTAATCAGAGAAAACTAATACCATTAATCAGTTCTGGCAAGTGAATTCAGCATCACAATTCACAAGTATCAAACAGTAAAAACTAATTAAAAAACAATAATCCTTAATTTCAATAGAACTAATAATAGAGCTAATAGAAAACTTATAAATCTAGGCAGTTGCAACTTTTATCAAAAATAACTATGAATGCATTGTTTTATGCAAAACAAAGGTAAAAAATCATCATTCGTGCATCTGGGAAGATCTTATCTCCACAAACTGTCATGGTTCCCTTGTCCCACATCGGGAGTTCCACATGAAAATGTGGGGTTTATAACCCTTTGGTCACCCTCCCCTTATTAGCTAGCTTTCGAGGGTGAGTTGCACCACACAAACACAGCCTCCTAAAAGCACATGTGACCGAAAAACTAGCAAATTTGAGCAAACTCAGATTGAGATGATCAACTTACCGTCAACAACTGGAACTACAGGAAAAATCAGTATTACACAACTAGTGATGCAGAAGTTACTAATCCTAAAGCAGAAAATACAGCATTAATCTGATGTTTTGCTCATACGCGGTGAAGAACGACCTAGACTTCCCATTTTCCACATATAAATAACAAATAAAGGAAAAACTAAAATCACTGTTGCTGATGGATATGGAAAAAAATGGAAATTACATTACACAAATCACACACATCTATACATACCAAGGAGCATAGAATTCAACGACGATGAAATTGTGTTTGGACACAGTATCCGAGAAGTTGGAATGGTCTAAAGTCAACACTTTCTCCCCTTCCTCTGCTGCAAATGCTGATACACTGAACAGTGCCAAAAGGAACACCGATATCACCCAAATGCCACTCCAAGCCCTATTTTCCATAGCTATACACACTCTCTGGACGAAGAATAATTATTTCTACAGAGATTTTCACATGTGATCGACTGGGGAATGAGAAATGCAGGAGGAGGTGAAAAGCTTATATAGATGGCATTATTCTTTACACAATTGGTGTAATGATACCACGTGGAACTATAGGTGACATGGCAATGGGCGATTGGATTGTCGGACGTAAACTTTTTTAGGCCATACACAGTAGAGAGATATTTGAGGAAGCAAATTGGGATTTTAGTGTCATAAAAACGTGAGTTAAAATTTAGTTGATGTTTCTGTCTCATTCTTTCAAACTTTTTTATCTACATATTCATTTTCAATCACGAGCAGATCTACAGTGGGTCCGCTATCCTACACCAAATTTGAAATTCAAGATTTTGCAATAAATTTTTCAAGAGTTTACACAGAACTACTACAAAATGTTATATCCATGCCACTTTATATCCGCACCACAATCAAAACATATTTTTAATACATACACCATAATACATTTACAATTATATACCTTTCATCTTTTTCTTTTCTTTAGACATCTCTCTCTTATAGATGTGTCAAAATGGGCGGGGCGGGCCGCGCCCCATACAAACCGTGCACAGCCCGTCAGACGTGAAACCCGCCCGAACGGGCTTTCTGGGCCGGCCGGCCCGACCGGAAAAAGATTTGCTTGGCCCGGCCCAGACCGTGAAGCCCACATGGGCCGGGCAAGGTCGTCGCCCCGCTCAGCCCGGTTTTTTTTTTTTTTTCAAAAGTAAATGGTAAAAATTAAATTTTATAATTGTAGTGAAAATCGATAAAAGTTACATAAAAATAAATTTTACATTGATTTATTTTTCGATAAATTTTACATCAATAATTGAATAACATAAAAACTTACAATTTTTCGAATAATTGAATAACATAAAAGTCAAACGAATACTAAACTTACTTTTTTTTTTTTTACTTTTTGTCTAAATGTCTAGCATTATTGCAGCGAGTTCAAAAGTAAATGGTAAAAATTAAATTTTATAATTGTAGTGAAAAATGAAAATCGATAAAAGTTACATAAAAACAAATTTTACATTGATTTATTTTTCGATAAATTTTACATCAATAATTGAATAACATAAAAACTTACAATTTTTCGAACAATATTTTGCCTAACTTGACAAATTAAACAGTTTTTTAACTATTTATAAACTTATAGTTAAAGTACATCCCAACTAGGTTGACACCTACTTAACTATAATTTCGTTATTACAAATCATATTCTATTCATCTACGGTAAGATTTTTAAAGTCTTGAGCAATATTGTCAGCAACTTTATCTTGCATTCTTCTATCTGCAAATAACCAGTCTTTCACGCAAATGAGAGCTTCTAAAATATCTTCTTTAAGTCTTGATCTTCTTTCATCTAGCACTCTGTTACCTGCACTAAAAGCAGACTCCGATGCCACTGTTGAAACTGGAACTGTTAGTAGATCTCGGGCCATTTTTGACAATATTGGATATGACCGTTCATTTACCTTCCACCATTGTAAAATATCTAAGTTGTCAACCTCGTCTTCTGGAATTAAACTATAGTAATCAAATTGATAATATCTTTCTAATTCAGGTGGTGTAACATTCTCATTTGAAAATGAACTAGTAGATGAAGTAAAAGACACATTGCGTTTCTTGGCTATTAAAGAAAAGAAAGAACTTTTACCTTTAGAAGTGGTAGCAGAACTTGTAGTAGAAGGAACATTTTCATTATTACCATATTTCATAGCATAATTATTGTACATTTCATTAATAAAGCGTTCTATTTCCCGGTTTGTAATATTTATATTGAAAGATAAAGTTTCAGAAAGTTGGTCCATAGCACACTGAACTCCAAAAAATTTAATACGAGGATCCATTACAGCTGCAATTGGAAAAATCATTGGCATATTTTCGTAATATTTTCGAAACTTGTCCTCCATTGTACAAACAATATCATAAAAAAATGGATCATCTTTATGACTTGAAAATTGATTAGCAATTTCTACAAATTGAGCGAGCACAAGATTACTTGTTGGATAATAAACTCCGGAACTAATTTTTGTTGCCTTATAGAATGGTTTCAAATAATTCATGACTTTAAATGCAATGTTCCAATCAGAATCATCTATATAAAATTGATGTTGCTTTGAATTAACGAAAGCATTAATAGCATCTGTATAACCAACACACGATTTTAACATAAGAAATGTTGAATTCCACCTATTTGGAATATCATCAATAAATTTTCTTCTCCTCAATCCAAGATTTTTACAAATTTTTCCAAATTCTTGTTGTCTAGAATCTGAACAAGAAATGTAGTTAATAACTTCTCTAATTTTATGTATTTGTGGTGTTATTAATTTTAAACCATCTTACACTACTAAATTATATATATGACAAACACATCTCATATGAAATAATTTAGAGTCAAACGAGGGATTAAGTGTCCTTTTCAAAAGTTCAATGCATGCAGTATTTGCACTAGCATTATCAAAACTAATGCTAAATAATTTGCTCAATACATTAAATTCATTAAAAACCTGTAATAAATTCTCACACAAATTTATTCCATTATGTGGATATTCAAGTAAGCGAAAAGTAATAATTCTTTTGTGAAATAACCAATTATTATCAATAAAATGTACGGTGACACATGCATAACCATTGTGATTACGTCCAGACCAACAATCAGATGTAAAACACATAACTCCATCAAAATTGTTAAATTCAGTTTTTAAATGTTCAGTCATTATATGAAATAATTTCAAGATATCCGAGCGAGCAGTATTTCTACTTACAGACCGATAAGCGGGTTGAACATACTTTTGCATAAACTCCTCAAAGTATCGATCTTCTGCGAAAGTAAAAGGCATCTCGTTTGCTGCCAAAAATTCAGACATTCCTACTCTCATTCGATCCTGCGAATAATAAAAATTAGAAAAAGTAACTGTTCCACTAGTATTAGTAAAAGAAGTAATTTGAGCTTGTTTAGTATCCAAATGCCCTCTTTCATTCATGTGTTTATCTTTGTGTTTTCGCAATGTGCCCGTACCTTGACCTTTAACCCATGCATAACTCTTTCTACAAATAGTGCATATTGCTCTTTTGTTTGGTTCATCCACTGTAAAGATTTCCCAAACATCAGATGTATGCTTTTTATTTTTTCGTTGATGAGAAGATCCAATATTTGGATCATTATCATCTTCCAAATTTATTGGAGAACAACTATCATGTAAATTGACATTTCTTGAAGAAAAATCGTGAGAATCCATAACACTTTAACAAAAAATTTTGAAATAATAAGATGAAAAGAAAGCACAAAATACTAAATATGAAAAATGCTTGCTGAAAATATTAAGAGAGATTATGAAAAAATAGAGATTTTAAACTTGTAGTTGTAGACTTGTAAATTGTGAGAGTTTACTATTTTTTCACTTCACAATACCACTATTTATAAAAAAAAAAAAAAATTACCGTTACAAACATTAAAATAAATAAATAAAAACGTCAGAACGTTCAAATGACCATTCTGACGTTGCAGGCTGCAGCCTGCTGCTGCAGGCACTTTTTTTAATTTTTTTTTTTTAACCGTTGGCCCGGTTTATCTTAAACCGGCCCGGACCGGTTTCAGGTCCGGGCGGCCCGTGATTCGACCCACACGGTTCACGGGCCGAACCATGAGCCGGTTCGGGAACGGGCTGCAGCCATGATTCCAAGCAAATATTCGTGGTTCAACTAGTTGCCATTATGAAGCAAATTCAGAGGCATAATATATACTTGAAGTAATTCTGTTGTGTTAATTATGCCCAAAATATCTAATATCAATTGTTGGGAATTCAAGGATCACGTATCGCTGGATACCATTTGATATGAAACCGACCATCGGATTGAAATGTTGAAGTTATATGGTACAATAATGAAATATTTGATCACAAACAAAAGTATAAAAAAAGACAAGAAAATATGGCAGAATAATTATAAGATTTTATTGCACCAATAATAATGGAGAAATATATAATTGATCATAAAGTTTAGTAATCTATTTTCTCACATTTATAAAATTGTATAGAAGAGCCAATATTTATAGGTAAGATGTAGAAGATGTTCAAATATTCCTAATAGAGTTGTTGATGAAAAATGATATCAAAAAATTGAGTTTAAAACAAATTACAACTCTCGATGGATTTCCAAAATAGAATTTCAACTTGACATATGATTTCAATAGCATTTCAAACTGAATTTTTCTTTCGATTAGAATTTTTCAATTATTTCAACAAGGAATTCGGGTCACACCCAAATTTTAAAAATCTCCACCTTAACACGAATTCCACTACAACAAACAAAGCTCTAAAATATTCTCCACTTGGAGAAGAAAATCCATTTGCAAGGAATGATCCGACTCTTCAATAATAACCAAAACTAATTTCTCCAACCAACACAAAATACTACACCTCTTACAATGAATTCAAGTACTACTCTACAGAATCACCTCATATCATAATAATTTTAAAATTCACCAAACTGTGCTATAACACACCCTCAAAGTAGAATCAAACTCAAATGCTTTTAAAGAAGACCCCTTGCTAGATTGTACACTTTCTACTACACTAAAAGCATGCTCAACAAAATCAGCATCCACATACTTTTTATCATTGGGTCTGTCCCTAGAAATTGAATACAATGACACCGCAGGTGATGGTGGCAAAGCGGCATTATCCATATCTCCTGAACTCCACTGAACAGTATTCTTCAAATCCAACCCTTTACGAGCTCCTAAAGGTATTGTATCAAACTGAATATCCACCACGGTACTGAACCTGTGCTGATTGACTCTTTTAGATTCTGCACGACCCCGAAAGATGTATAATTGAGACATTTTCTGTCCCTCCAATACAACATGAGCACCCTTACAAACTTTCAAGACACCACACCACTAAATAACTCATAACCCTTTGAATCAATGATAGACAACGAGATGAGATTCTTCT